GCAAAAGTTCACGCCGTGTCACAGCGCCGTCCCCGGGCAAACCCGGCGGCAACGCTGCCGCCTCCCGCTCCCCCGGGGGGGACGGGGGGGCTGCCGGTACCGGCGTTCAACACCCGTGTCGGGGGGTGGGGGGGCGGCCGTGGGGTCCTGCGGAGGCTCCGCCGCGTCCCCTGGGGCTGCCCGGTCCCGGGATCGCCGTCGGGCACCGGGGCGGGGGGGGGGGGAGGCACAGAAGCAAACACGGATGGGGAAAGAGCGGAGGCAGGACAAGGGTTGCAAAAATACCGTGTGTTTAATGAGTAAGCCGCTGTATTTGTCCTGATGGCTTCGTTAAACTTGGGTCGCGGGAGCGTCTTTCTCCTCTCAGGCGCTGGGACGGTCGGCAGCCGGTGCTGCTCGGAGCCAGGCCATACGGCCAGCTGCCGGAGGGGCTGCTGGCCCCCGGGGCCCGCGGCCACCCCAGGCGAGGTGGCCCTGGGCCGGGCGTCGAGTGTCGCGTGGGGCTCTGCGGCCACGCCGGCCCTCGCCCACCCGCCGTGGCGGTGGCCGCGCCGGGCCCGTGGTCCCGTCCGGCTCCGCATCCGTCCCCCGGGGGTGGCGAAGGCTGCGAACGAATCCTTCCGTCCTCCGAGGCCTCCTCCCTCGAGAAAGTATCACCCACCCGTGTCCCCGCTCACGGCGGGGGCCGAGCGCCTCGTGTCGTGGCCCTGTTGCGTGGGAGCGTGGTCCGAGGAAGCCTCAGCCGTCTGCGTCAAGGCAGAGCCTCCGCCGCCCCGCCAGGGATTAAGAGATGGCAGTAAACGTGTGAGGTGCACGCACCTGGCGCGGCGTCAGCGCGTCCCGGTGCATTCATCGCTTCGGTCCAGCTGGGGCCAGCCACACTCTTTGCTTTGCTTCCTAGTATCGGTATTATGTGCCTTTTTTAAAAAAGAAAGTGTGTTTATGTATTTTTAATTGCATAGCTAGGCACGTTTGTTGCATCAGATTTTTGTAAAAAAAATTTTTTTTTGTTTTTGGAGGTAAGCAACACCCTGGGTAATCTTAAAACTCATTTTTAGCTGAAGGCTTTTGAGGCTTTTAATAGTAATTTGTTAGTTTCTGTCGATGTGTTTGACTGAAAAATTTAAAGGATAATTGTCTGAAGACATCTTTCCTGAAAACCCTTAATAGGAGTGAAATGATTGATAGCTGACAACTTTTAAATAAGGTAACTTGTCACTTGAAAACGGTGGAGTTTTTTTTCCAGTGGTATTTCAGTCTGCTTGGAAAAAAGCAAGATGCATCAATTTTAGAATAAGTAAAAGAGAACTGAAAACCAAACAAACCAAAACAAAATCAAAGCAAAGAACTCCCAAATTCAAGCGAGCAACTAAGAAACTCTGCTAGCTGTGTAACTTGTTAGGTGCTTCCTATTTTACTGCTGCTCTTCCTGTGGTGCTTCAGCGAGTAAGAAGTCATGCACCCCTCCTTCTGACGGAGCTCTTCCTCTGCCCCCGTGCCCCTCCGAGAGAGAGAGCGAGCCGTTGCCGGTATGTTTTTTGGCTGTGGTACCCTCTGGTAGGGTGCAGTAGGTGCCCTGCCACAGCTAGCGGGTAAATACACGTGCGCTTTCCTGCCGTAATTGGGTGGTTACCCTGTTCTGCACTGGACACACGTTGCCCTAATCCCTTCCTTTGGCCGTGTCACTGCCAGGCTGCTCAGAAAGCTACACGCTTGCAGCTTGTACCACTTCGGCCAGATAAGTGCAACGTTTCTTAAATGCATTTTCAAGTTTAGTTGCTGGCAGCCACTGGGTGTCAATGCCGTAACTGCTCTGGTCGAGGCGTGCAGCCTGTTGCCTTGTTTCTCACTGTTTATCCGCGGCTCAGCTTGAGTGAGGATTATTTTTATTTTTTGGGTTGGGAGCTGCCGGTGCGCCGCTGCTCTGGGGGCCGGGGACCCGCCGTCGGTGCGGGCGCAGGGCTGGGAGCGAAGCCGGACTCAGCCGAGGGCCCTGGCAGAGGAGGAGCATCGCTGGGCGAGGAGCACAGATCGGTAGTGGCCGACTTCTCTGCTGACAGGGAGCGCGGGTTTGTGTTGGGGTCGGGAGTGCGTTCCGTGCCGGTGTTTCACAGTCTGAGAAAGAGAGGGTGGGTGGTGGTGTTTTTTTTTTTTCTTTCTTTTTCTCCACTGCCCTTAAATAAAGCTTCGTGGCACTTCATCTTGTAGGAGTTTGCATGTTTGTAAGCGCAACAAGGTACATTTCAAATTATACACAAAACTATGAAGCACACAGGAACTCAAAAAGAATGTGCGCTTTCTGCATAGTACTAAGGCTGTGTTTCTCGCCCAGAAGATGAGGGCTAACTGCTCTAATGCTTGTGAACATGCACTGCCCTGATTTAATATCTGATGCGAAGCTGCTTTTTCACTTTTCACTGAATATAAAGAAGCTGAACGGTATCAACATTATCTGTTAGGAGCTCAAAATAGCATCCACGTTCTTCCGAATAAAACCAGCTTTTTAAATAAGGGGAGAAGCCATAGGTAGTAACATGAAATTATCAGTAGTAGCTTGTTAGGGTAGTTAAAGTTGTTCTCAGTTATATGTACAAAGCAGTTTATTCCAGACTTTCCTAGCAGAAACTCTGCTTTATGAACAAACCCCCCGTTGAACTCTCGGGGAGCAAAGTCCGCAGGACCCCTGCACAGTGGCTACCTTGACGGAAGGAAGCGCTGGAGATGTGCTCTGCCAGACCCGCTGTATTGTTGGTTGAGAACGAGTGCCGATAGCGACCGGCGTTGCTCAGAGAAGGCTGAAGCAAGAATGAGATCTGTTTCAGAGATAACAAAAGAAATTGTTGTGAAAGTTGTATGGAAGAACAAAACTTCTATCCTAGTTGTAGTCAAGTGAAAGCAACCTTTTCCCTTACCTGTGCTAGTGGGAGGCACCGGGCTTAAGACAGTCTAGAGTCCTCCAAGAACTTCACTGCAGCTGTAGGTAACTCTTCCTTTACTCCAATCTGATAGCCTTTGGGCTAATCATCATACGTAAAATATAAAACATCTCTGGGATGAGCGTATTTCTTGATGTCTTTGCTTTATGGCAAGATGGTTGAGATTTATCGTAAAGGAGCTATTACAGTTAAGCTTCCTTGAACGGTCTCATCCTTTTAACCTGCATTTGAAAATGGGTTCACATCAAAAGCTGTCATTTTTCTTAAACAGAAAACACAGAGTTTTGGTGGCACTCACCTGGAGGTGGATGTGTTGTTAATTTTTTCACAGTGGCAGGTGTTAAGATCACGTGGGCATTTACACCTCCTCCACTTTTAGTCCCAAGGAAACTTGATCCCCTAAATTTTTTTGTTGCCATTGCCAAAGGAATGAGAATAGCTGATACCTAGCTGCAGAAGGATGAATGGGTAGTAAGCCTGAAAGCCCAAGGACAAAACAGGCATGGGACAGGTGCTTTGGGTGCCCCTACTGTAGGAGTGCTTGGTGGTCATGACTCTGTTCTGTAGTGAATCGGTCTCCGTGCACAATAAATTCTGGGTAGTGGTGTATTTGATTCGAAAGCCACACATAGCCTGAAGCGTTTGAAGGACTTTGAGAAATCGAGAATAATCTTCACAGAAGTTGTCCAAAACTTTTGATTCTAGATGAGTGAACAATTTAAATGGTGGAAATTTGTACTATTTATTAAAAGTGAAATGAGTATATCTTTGTGAGGTTTTTATCACACATTTTTTTTTTCTGCGTGGAAATACCACAATTGAAGATTACCTTGAAGAATTGCTGTGTATTCCCTCAGTCCTGGTTGCATACTGGGCATTTACCTCTGTGCCTTTAGATGCTTCCCTGGGTGATTTGGGGACCCCCTAGCATCACGCGTTGTATTATATGTACATACAGCACACACGCGTGCATATACCAGTGTGTATGGTTGGTTTTCTCTTTCTGGGTTCTGCCAGGCTGAACGCTATGACAGTCACACTTTTTCACACGTGGCACCAGTAGTAGCCTCAACAGCTGGAAGCTGGAGTTGCATCTGCTCTGCCCTGACGCCCGATCTCAGCTCGGGCAGCTCAGAGCAATGGCCAGACCAGTTCCAGCCTCTGCCCACCCCGTTGGGAGTTTTACTCTTTAGTGGCTGGCATAGCTGCTCACTGCCCCTAAAAAAAGGTCCTCCGAGGCAGCCGTCATTGTCTGCGAGTCACCAGCTTGCGTGTCACTTCGCTTCAGGTATGAAAGCTCAGCTTAATCTTTGGAGGTGCAAGGTGCTCTCCTCGCCCGCGCCCGAATAACTGATGGCGAAGCTGAGCGGCAGTGCCGGCCCTTAACTGTCTGTTCCTTTTACACGTAATTGTTTCTCCTTTTGTGTTTGCCCTTTGGACCTCAGCCCTTGCTTGAAGGACAAAGCCCATTCTGACCTCAAACCTGTATGTGGCAGCCCTGTTTTTGGGGCGGCGTGCGGGCTTCCCTGGCCCCATCCCGCAGGCAGGTCGCCTCCGGGAGGGACCGAGTCGCCTCGCAGCAGCTGGGGCCGGTGCGATGCGTCCCAGCCTTCATCGGTGGTTTTGAGCTTCCCGTCAGGGCCTGGAATGACACGTTGGAAATACTCTTGGTTTTCTTTGCCCATTGTCTATCTGCTGTGATGTCTGTTCAGTTACTCATGTGATTATAGGTAAGATGAAACACCAAAACAGAACGCCTGAGTGGCTTTGTGTACTGATGTAATGAACTAAGTTTTCCTGAATTGCCTGACTTTAAAGAACTTCAATACAAAACCGAGGTAACTGCTCCCTTTGCCACCATACTCCTTACGACACACTCAGCTCCTTCCTTAGTATCATTATTTTTGTAGCACTTAGACGATTTCACAAGTTGTTGGTGAAGTTGGT